GAGTGTGCATGTGTGCGCTTGCATGTGTGTGTGCTTGCATCCGTGCATGTGTGCATGCGTGTGCTTGTCTGTGTGTGTACACGTATGTAAATGTGTGTGCGTGCATGTGTGCGTGTGTGAAAATGTGTGTGTGCGTGCACGTGTGTGCATGAACGTGTGTGTGTGTGTGTGTGTGTGTGTGTGTGTGTGTGTGTGTGTGTGTGTGTGTGTGTGTGTGTGTGTGTGTGTGTGTGTGTGTGTGTGTGTGTGGTGTGTGTGTGTGTGTGCATGTGTGTGCGTGTGTGCGTGTGTGTGTGTGCATGTGCGTGCATGTGATGTGCGTGTCTGCATGTGCATGTGTGTCTGCATGTGCATGTGTGCATGTGTGTGTGAGCATGCATGTGCATGTGAGGGTGCATGTGCATGTGTATGCTTATGAGTAATGCTGTTTTAATCAAATAACCCAAAAACAACACAATGGGAATAAATAAACATACAATGCACACATACCTTCATCACTGACAGAGTCTAGGCTGGAGCTGCCTGTAGTCATTGGGAAGACATGAAAGGTAAGGAACACAGAAGCAGTTAGTTAACGTGAAAACACAATTAAAAGCACCTCTTGGATATGCCATTCACAGTCTACATGCTGTTGTGTGTATATAAGAATTATATAATGCTTAGCTATTACAGATATTTTTCTGTCAATAACTGTCAAAATACTGTCAATTACATTTTGGTCCTAGGATTAGTTACATTAACTATTATGCTTAAAATATAGACAGAATTATCATCAATTTGACCATTCAGCTATTCTTATGATGATTTGCTTTGAACAAAATAAGAGTTGCTAAGTCATGTGGGAATATGCATTATATTCCTTCATATCAACAGCTTTGTATCCTTAAACTTATGAAAAAAAATTACAAATATAAATTTTATTAATAGTAATCACATACCAATGAAGATGTTGACAGAGTTAAGTCTTAGTAGACTTGCAATGTATTATTAGAATTAGCATAAATAAAACAGTTAAATCATAAAAAACAATAGTTATTAGTACAACAACGTGGGGATGGGATTTTCCATTTTTCTCAAAATATGGTTCTGGTATTTCCTCTCAAAACAACAATAACTTGTACAGTAGAAACCTGTTCCCTCGAAGATATTTGGTAGTTCCAAATATCAATTCCAACATTACAAAAAAAAAAAAAGACACTCTATCCTCAATAAAAGATGTATTGCATAGCACACAGAAAGACTTAATACAGGTAACAACAAACAATGAGTTTCTACTCTATGTACAATAATCTATATCACAATCACTCATAACCTGGCAAAAAGTCACATAATATATGCTATACCTGCATGTCTCCTAAAGTACTTAACCCTTCCTATATAATGATGCACATCAGTATTGCGGCACCAAGTCCATGGTCAAAAACCTGTCAGTGCACTTTAGAACAGATCAGTTATGCATAACTTACCACCATAAGCCAGAATATTGGCTTTAGGGGGTCACTGACCCAGAAAGACTTTCTATAAAAACCTCTCACTTTTTTCCTCCTTTTGAAATGTTGGACCAGCAACTCCCTCTAAATCTGTTATAAATCCTGATATTTCTATTTTGAGGAACTCACATCATCAGGGTTAATTAAGACATTTGTGTTCATTGAGTGAATAACCTTGTTTATGATTTTAAAAAGGTGTCTGTAAGCACTAATACAGTAAGGTTTAGCAATATTTTGGAATATTTCAAATAAATAATAACAAATTAAAGCACAGTTAAGGTGAACTTTTCATTAATGAATTAATGCAAAATTCATACATTTTAAAGCAAAGGCACTGAACTATGAAAACTCTCATTATAATAAATTTACAACAAAATAAAGAAAAAAAAACATTAGACCACACTAAAAACACACTGTATCCCAAGATGAAAAATTTAGATATGCCAAGTACTTCCCACAGGAGTAAGAATAAAGGGCCACAGAGACATCTATTACTAGGCTTCCATCTCCATTTAGTAGGTAAAAGCTTATTGCTGATGCCTGCACAGAAGAAGAAAGGTGAAAATGGAAAAGGAGGAAGTAGTAGGATCATCATACAGAGCAAAAATGGGGAAAAGTTGGGAAACATCCTTTTTTTTGCCACAAAGAAAAAAACATTATGGAACTGTGGATACAAGTACACAATATTGTCTTTTTGAATTTTATAAAAATCTTTTTCACAGTAATTAAATTACATATACAATACACATCAAAGATCATCATATAATTTGTAAAACTGACAACTTACAATTTTCAAAACAAATACACTCAAACTTTATCAAAATCTCATAAAATTGGACATGCATCTTGATTAGTGCTTCAAGGCCAAACCTAATTCTAGCAAGTGGGTATTACCATATAAAGGTGTAATTCAAATGCTTTATGAACTCACTAAACACTATGATACACTATAATAAAAAAAAAATCAAATATCATCCAGCTGTCATCAAAGTCAGCTTATTGAAGATTTG